TCATCTAAACTTGGACGTAGGGGTGTACAAAGCTATCAAAACAAGTCGCTTTCCCATAGCAGTCAAACCCAAATTTTCAAGGTGGGATTCCTTCATTTTACTCAAGATGCGTAAAAACGGACAACAGAATCAATGATTATTTAAAATGAGCAACGGAGGTTAAATGCCCATGTGCCTTATTCTCTTGACCAATTATTTCAATAAATTCGTCATGGATATGTATGGAAATCAGTCTGGAGGATTTGTTTGGATATTGGGCCTTAAAGGATTAAGGCAGAGCAGCCCTACTTGTAGACTTCTGTATGACACTTGTCTGAGTTGATTTCGGTGGATGTGACACTGTGGGGCGTTCCATTTTTTTTTCCTAAACCCTTCCTGTGGATGAGCAGATTTCTACCGCCTCACATTTTGGTCAGAACACTTTGAGAAAACATTTCCTACCCCCCTCATTTTTTTGTTGTTCCCTTTGAAAACAGATTCGTACTAGTTGTCTGCTGATGATACTCATCCACAGGAGGGGATCAGAATAAAAATGGAATGTCCCTGTACTATTTATGCATACTTCAAAAGAAACAAGAGCATCTTCATCTAATTAATCAAAATTGTGTCCAGAATTAATGGAGAGCCTTAACAGAAATCTTGCCATCAACCTTTGTGACTGGGGCAAAACATAAGCTCAAATAATTGAAAACTTCACAAAGATAGTCAAAATAATCATGTTCTGCTTTTCGAACTGGTCAACCACAATTCGATTCACCCCTCTTCCATGCAGAAAGTCAAAAAATCTGAAATTTCATGGATGCATCCGTACAGCTGCAGCCCTCTCTATACACATATTGGATGACCGTGGGTTTTTCCTCAAAGACTTTCTTACTGTTATGATGGTATACAGTTCTTTCAAAACATCGTGCTTTAACTGGAGTCACATTAATTCTCGGAAAATCCAAATATTGAACAGGAGTGTCTACCTTTAGAAGGGGGTTGATGTTAGCTTCTTTCCAAGCTGTTGGCCATGTGTAAGAGGACAGACGCTTGTTCCACAGAGCAGTCATCACAGGAGCTAGGGTTGTGCAATTGTCCTTTCAAACCCAAAACAGCAACCCATCAGGGCTCTGGGAGTAGGTGTCTCGGGGTTTACCTTAAGAGGCACTGGTTAATTAATTCTCATCGTTGCACAAATCCCCAAAATAATCATTAGACCAGTATTCTATTCACATGCATTCATATTCATGCTCAGTTCTAAGAAGGTATGGGAAAAAAGATTGATCAGTGGACTAAGCCAAGCTGGGACAGCTTGGCTTAGGAAGAGTTCAAGATACGACTCACGCGATTTTTGGGCGGGACTGGGTGGGCCGTCCACCTCTTCGCGGCTCCGCTGAAAAACTGAGCAAGAATGGTTTATTTTCGCGCCAAACCAGAATTTATTATCGGTAATTACGTAATCGCACGTGAGACCGCTAGACTAGCCATGAAAGAACCCATTATTGAATTATTTTAACCTCGCATATCATTATGAGTGTTGTGAATAGCAAGAAATTCATTTTCTAAATATGGGTGAGGTTTTTCTTTCCTTAGCGTGATTTTATCCACTCTCCTCCACCAGTGCAAACTCCCTGGTGCTCCATTCCTGCCCAAGTTTTTCCGATTTTCTCCAATCAACTTGTAGACCTTTGATGACAAGTCCTCCGCTTTGTGAGTGTAGCCCCTATCAGCAGCTCTTTTCTTTTTCCTTAACAGGTATTTAACTAGTGGAGTGATCCAAGGGGGGTCACAGGAAGACATCACAAAACTCCTCACAGGGAAACACTTATCCATAAGATTGTGCAAATCCTTATTTAATATGCTAGTTGCTATTTCAACATCTGGAGCATTGATCACAGGTGTCCAATCAACATTTTCTAACTAACTCTGAAGTAAATTTTATCTTGTGATGCTCTCTAAAATCCCTAAAACAGCATTCAGATTGGATTGGTTTAATTTTGTTCCCCAGAGGAAGTATCACACCTCAGTGGTCATTCTTAATGAGCGCTTGAAAGTGAAAGGGGTCATTGAACAGCTCAGGGTGGTTTGTGAGGCAGTTATCCAAGGTGGAGGTCCCTCTAGTGGTGAAATTAACCATGGGCACAAGGCTAGGTGAACTGGAAAGACAGTCCAGGTCTAATCGGTTCAGATCACCTCCACAGAGAACTACCCCATGTGGATGCATGCCTAAGAATGTATCACAACGATTGATGATGGTATCAATAAGATTGCCTTCATCATACTTAAAACTTGGAGGATGGTACAATCCAATGATCAGCATATGATGTCCTGACAGAAGTAGTAATTCCACAATTAGCATCTGAAAGGAGTTTGCGCGATTAACATTCAAAACCTTTAAGTTTTCCCGCAAATAAACGGCAACACCACCTTTCTTTCGCTTTTTATCTGTTCCAGCCTAATCTCTGTCCATTCGATATGTTGTATACCCTTCAATAGCAACAATACTGACAGGTTTCTGTCAGCAAAGGTGCACCTCTGAAATAACACCAATGTCAATATCCCATGATTGAAAATCTGCCGTCAGAGCTACAGATGCCTGTACTCTGTTCTTGATCTTATTAAGACTACAGGTGTTAAGGAGTAGGCTCGTAGGAACTGGGAATAATCCTCCAGAAGATGATCCTTTATTAACAATTTTTCCGGTTAGCACTGCCTTGACACCTCTTAAAAGAGCTGACAGTTTCAGGATGCTCACAAACAGTACTGTTTTCACCAGCAGTGGGACTCTCTGTCCTTCTCAAGATGTTGCAGTCCCTCAAATTCCGAATCATGGTACACACAAGAGCATTGCTTGAAGATTGTAAATGTAACAACTGCTCACAGGAGTATGTGATCATTGGAGCGTGTCCCTCATTGCTAATATGCAAATTGGAGCCCGGCTCGTTGTTACAAATGGCAGGAAAGTAATTTCGAGAAGTAACAGAATACATCTTATCTCATGCATCTAATGCTTCACTATGTAACAATAAATAATTAAAGACTCATGAAATGAAATTATTCATCACCTCTCTACTGATCTTAAACGTACTTTTTCTTCCGCAGATTTACATTCTCTTTCTTCTGTAAACATTTGCACTTTTACCCCATTTTCTTAATTACATGCAACAGTTGTCATTGTAGTCAGTCAAGGCAGTTGAGGTAGAACACAGCAACAGAGTTGCCTTTCCTGAACGCACATTTAACGCATTACAGAAGCATACATGTATCAGTTTGAAACAACAACAGTTTAGAAAACGTGCTTTCCTTTAAAATCTAAGTATTAAACATTTATAGCACTGCCAGTCGTACTTTTCCTTGGCAGTTGCAGTTGGCAAAATAGTTTGAATAGCACAAACGGCTCTTGTAACATGACCACAAAAAAACTGAAAAAACAATAGATCACTTCTTGACAGTTAAACCAATCATGTTACAGCAAAAGTTTAAACAAGGTCACATTTACGTTTCGCAGTCTAGCTATCTGTAGGATCAATAAACTTTTTTTCTTTCATGGTTCTTTATTTGTTGTCTGGCTTTCCTCTGATTTCATTTTTTTTAATAAGGCAGATACATATCTACTATATATTTAGTAATAGCTGTTGGGTAATTGTGCGCAAACTTTGTGAATTTTGTTTTTAGCAAAAATAATTTTATTAATGACATTCTGATACTGGTGTTTCAAGTTTACATTAAAAGAGGTACATTTCACTTTATCTTGAAAAATAAATCCATATGTACACTCCACAACAGAAATATACAAATAACAATGAGAGAAGGGGGTATAGACTCTATTAATGCAACATTTGATTTGTTCCCATTTTTTGTCATGGAATTCTACCTTAGTCCACATACATGCTATTTTACCTTCTATACTGTGGATTACTCCAATGTTTGTTTTTAAGACCCACACTGCTGGCTTAACACCATTTAATTTACTGCAATAATTATACCAAATAAAACATAAACAACCGGTAAAAGTTCCAAATTGATATTAAATTCCATAAGCCAAGATGCTCAAGGGATTCAATCTCGTTTTTTCCACAAGTACATTGTGGCGAATCGGTGTTTTCATTCGTGAAAACAATGTTGTTCACAACCTTTTATTGGAATTCTCTACTTTTTGTTTCTAGCGACTCTTCCTTCTTTCACTTCTTTCTCTATCATTTAATAATCCAGAAGGAAGAGAGGTAATGCATCCTAAACATAGGGCACATGTCCTTCTTCCCTACACGAATACCAAATCTTGCGCCTCCTGTTTCATATGCGGTGACTTTTACAAAAATTTTGTAGTGCTGCTTAGAATGCATCTTTAGAGATCTAGAAGTACTCAGGATAGCCTGAAAAGAGTTTTTAATACATTTCAAAGAAGACCTTCGCTTGCTGCCCCTGAAAAAGGAAAAGAAAGACCACCAAAGATTCCTATATAGAACTGAATCCTTTGTCTTCGTCCTCCTCCTCTTCCACTTGCTAGAATGGACCCAAATTCTGGATCCATAGACCTGGCGTTAAAAGCTGCATGCAGCTGCCCCTTCCAGTCATTATTTTCCCTTTTCATGCAGACAAAGGAATACGCTTGATACCAATTTGCAGAAATTGAAATCAAAAAACAAAATAAAATAACCAAAAAAATGCTAAACAAATTCCATTGCGCTAACAACGAGAAAAAAAAGATAAAATTAATATAAGTACACTCTTAATTCTATAACAATCTTTTTAAATAAAAATTTTGGGGCTTAAATTGACAACATTTTAAAAACATCTTCAGAATGTAACTGAGGCTTAGATTTTGATACGAACACTTTTTTGTTAGGTTGCTGAAAAATGAAGTACTGAAAAAAATTGGCAAACTTTCAAATGAACTTTGTTTGACAGTATTGAAAAGGATGGCTTGGATTATGTCCGTTTTTCAATAAAAGTAGCGAACAAAAAACTACCGAACAAAGCAATCAAAATGCTTTCAATGATTCGGCAAGTCCCAGACCGACCATAGAAAGAATATCTAAAATGCTCAAAAAGAGGGTAAACTAACTCGAAGTAAGACCCATTTCCCTTGGTTTTGACACCACTTTTCAGTCATTTTCACTTGGTAAACTCGAACTCGGATTAGTTTTCCAAAACAATCAGAGAGAGAGTGCTTTGATTTTGAAACTTTGCAACCTCGAGCCGCTGTGAGCTACAGCTAGCTTTGACCAGCTTTGATATCCCAGGCTTGATAATCTGGTGGTGCTGCTGAGTCTTTCCAATGTGTTCCTCTAATTTTGCAAAATTTATGCCAACTCTCCTCAAAAGCTTCTATGGTGGGTTAGAATTTGTGAGTGACGAGCAACAAGAGAGTTATTTAACCAGAGGTATCACTCGCTTTTGAGTACAATGCCTCTGTTTGTGTTGACTCACGGACATGGTTTCTCGTCAGTCTTAATGCCCGGCAGACCGATTTGTCTCAACCTTCAGAGTAGCCAAGCGGGTACAAAGGGTTCAATAAACTTCTAAACTAATTACACATATAATAAAGCAGACTAACGTGCTTTTAGCTTTGTATACTGAGCGTATACTGAAACTTCTAGAATAATCGACACTCATATCTACATGCTACTTTGGTTCGAAAAGTGCTCTTTTTGAATATAAACAGCGCTCAACCCTTACCCTAAAATGAGGCTCATAAACTCTAATCCGTGAAATGAAAGCTTAATCCTAAACAGTAAATTTGCAGTTTTAACTCGTTTTACTCCATTTTTTCCGATGGATCTTAAGACTCGCTTGCAGTTTTTCAAGACCCGTAAACCCAAATAAGATCTGGAATGCCGGTAGAGGGCAAAGTTACTACAATAATTTACCTTGTCATAATGAATCGGCACTGTAAAGGCGCCTGCTAAGTAAAATGAGAGTTCAAGTGTCGCATTGTTCAATATGGCGAATGGCAAATTTGAAGCCTTCGACCTTGAGACTATTTAAACGTGAATTTACTAGACATTTCCACAAAGAAAACCTGGCCTATTTGACTAAATATGTTTCAACATCCGGAAATTTGGAAACGAAATTGGATCCAGTCTGGTTAAGTTGTTTTATTATAATTTAGCAAAAATAATTTTATTAATGACATTCTGATACTGGTGTTTAATCTTTACATTAAAAGAGCTACATTACACTTTTTCTTGAAAAAATAAATCCATATGTATACTCCACAACAGAAATATACAAATAACAATGACAAACAGAGAAAAGGGGGTATAGACTCAATTAATACAACATTTGATTTTTTCCCATTTTTTGTCATGGAATTCTACCTTAGTCCACATAAATGCTATTTTACCTTCTATACTGTGTATTACTCTGATTTTTGTTTTTAAGACCCACATTGCTGGTTTAACACCATTTAATTTACTGCGATAATTATGTCAAATAAAACATAAACAACCGACAGAGGTTCCAAATTGATATTAAGTTCCATAAGCCTAGGATGGAGCACTACCCAGAAGGATCTTGTCATTTTGCAACTGTAAAAAAGATGCTCAAGGGATTCAATCTCGTTTTTGCAAAAGGTACGTCGTGGAGAATCAATCTTTTCATGCGTGAAAACAATGTTGTTCACAACCTTTTCTTGGAATTCTCTACTTTTTGTTTCTAGCGACTCTTCCTTCTTTCACTTCTTTCTCTATCATTCAACAATCCAGAAGGAAGAGAGGTAATTTATCCTAAACATAGGGCACATGTCCTGCTTCCCTACACGAATACCAAATCTTGCGCCTCATGTTTCATATGCGATGACTTATACAAAAATTTTGTAGTGCTGCTTAGAATGCATCTTTAGAGATCTAGAAGTACTCAGGATAGCCTGAAAAGAGTTTTTTATGTATTTTGAAGAAGACCTCTGTTTGGTGCCCCGAAAGAGGAGAAGGAAGAAGACAAAAGATTCCTATATAAAACTGAATCCTTCGTCTTTGTCCTCCTCCTCTTCCACTTGTTGGAAGGCACCCAAATTCTGGATCCATTCCAGCGTGCACACCCGCGTCAACAGCTGCATGCAGCTACCCCTTTAACTCATTGTTTTCCCTTTTCATGTGGACAAAGGAATACGCTTGATACCAATTTGGAAAAATTGAAATCAAAAAGCAAAATAAAATAACCAAAAAAAATGCTAAACTAATTCCATTGTGCTAAAAAGGAGAAAAAAGAAGATAACATTAATACAAGTACACTCTTAATTTTAGAGGAATCTCTTTTAATAAAAATTTTGAGGCTATAATTGACAACATTTTAAAAACATCTTAAGAATGTAATTGAGGCTTAGATTTTGATACGAACACTTTTTTGTTAGGTTGCTGAAAAATGAAGTACTGAAAAAAAATTGGCAAACTTTCAAATGAACTTTGTTTGACAGTATTGGAAAGGATGCCTTAAATTATGTCTTTTTTTCAATAAAAGTAGCGAACAAAAAACTACCGAACAAAGCAATCAAAATGCTTTCAATGATTCGGCAAGTCC